CCTAATCCTTTGTCTCGTTTTACCCTATAGATCTATTAATTAACTGAGATATGATTGTTTGACGATATAATTAATTAGGATTAAGAGAAAAATGCAATAAGATAAAATCTAATCACGAATGGAAATCAAATTTAGATTCAAACATCAAAATCTCATAAATTTATGAACGATAGTTCTCATAACCCTAGCTATGGACTTAGTTACTCATGTTAAAGAAAATAATTAAAACAATTATAAACAAAGCCATAATTAAAAGAAATAGCAAACTAGAGTGTGAGATGTATTTTTGGTCTTCAAGTACGATCGTTCGAAATTTCAAGTCCCGCCAAGAGTGTGTCAAAGATCCCGTGCAAGAGAGATGAGATGAGATGTATCACAGAGCAAAAGGCAAGGTAAAAACGATGTCCACTACGATGCCTGAGGTCTCCCTTTTAATAGGGTTTGAAAACCTTAAAGACTCTTCATGATTGGGCTTCCAGCAGCTGAGCAGGAGATCGTGCATGGGCTTAAAGCACTCACGTGCTTATTAAATAAGTCTGAACGTATTGACTGTTGTGAAGCTCTAATCTTCCATCAATTTGGGCTCAGAATGCACCCAAAATCCATTTGCAGCTTCTTTATTCCAAATTGCATAATTAATATATAAATTAATATAAAACCCAAATAAAATAAATGTCAAATATGAATATATGGGCTGTAAAAGAGAGACTAATTACAGACTTATCAATTAACATATACATCATCCTTGGAAATTAAAAGGATATCATCAGCAAAAAACAAATGAGAAATTCTAGGTCCTTAAATGCTAAAAAAAAAAAGGAGGATGTAATCATTATTCATAATCCTATTTTTAATTAAATGAGCTAGTAAATGTAGGGTGAAAGGGGATCCCCTTGACGGATCCCTCTAGAGGGTTTAAAACTAATAGAGATGTTTTATTATAGTTCAAGTACATGGAAAGAGAGGAGATATGATGAATAAGATTCACAAATTCAAAGTTTAAGGCATCTTTAAGGAAGGTATGAATAATGAGATTTCATCTAATCCTATCATAGGGTTTTTCTAATTCTAATTTCAATATCATATAACAATTTTTACCTTTTTAGTCTAGAAAAAGAAGGCAATTACTCCTAAAGGAATATTAAGTAGTTTATTCCTTGTCTACAAGGATTTAAACTACTTTGATTGGTAGAAATTAGGTAAGGTAAAGATCTCTTAGCCTTTTAGCTATAAGTTTAGTTACAACTTTGTAACTAACATTGCATAATGATATTGGTCAAAAATTGGCAAAAGATTAAGTATTCTTAGACTTTGGAATAAGAGATATACCAGTTTCATTAACTTCATAAATAAGAGTAAAATTTTTAAAAATGTATTGAACAAATTTGAAAATAAAAGGAGCTAAATTATTCCACTAATTTTTTTGAAAAATAAGGTATAAAGTCAATCTAGACCAAGAGACTTGAAATTTCTAATATAAAAAAGAGATGTTTTAACCTCTTCTAGGGATAAAGTAGAGTACAACCTAGTTTTATTAGAATCCCTAAGGAAAGGGAAATAATTCTAGCTATGAAGAATACAATTATTAAGATTTGGGTAATAGTAAATATCTTCAAAGTAATTTAGAATAATAAGCTTTATGTTAGAGGAATCATTGACTCAATTTCCTTTCTCATCCTTAAGAGCCTCAATGATATTTTTATTCTGCGAATAATGGTAGCTTTATGAAAGAATCTAGTATTCCTATCACCTAATTTTATCCAGTCAATCCTATATTAGTCTTCAAAGATTATTCTTGATCTAAAAGGATTCTTCTTGATCTAAAAGAAGATGGTAATATTTTCAAAGATTATTCATAAGGTTACTAAAAAATGGATTGTCGCCATTTGCCAATTTTTGAGAAATTCTTTCAAGTCTATTGAAAAAACGTCTTTTCTTTTTAAAAATATTCCCAAAAGTATTTTTATTCCAATTAAAAATATTGGTCTTAAATCTATTCCTATTATCTGTCCATAAGCCGGAAAACAACCAAGAGTTTTGAGCTTGAGTGTTAAAATCACTATAAGTAATCCAAGGAGTCAAAAACTTAAAGGCCTAGTGTTACTAACTACAATATTCTTATTTCTAATTTTAGGCTATAGGCCAGCATGATTTGACTTCAACACAGGAATGTGAATGACAAAGTTAAGATAAAAATAAAGTCTCTTAGACCTGTTAGTAAAATATCCTATCAAGCTTTTCTTTTACATTACCCCTATATGTCAGGTGAGAGTTATCCTTGTACCTCAAATCTTGTAAACCACAGTGGAGAAAGAAATAAACAAATTTTCTAGTATGAATAAAAGTGGCAAATCTATCCCCAAATTTCTTTGATTCAAAAAGGATAGAATTAAAGTCCTCAGCTAGGCACCAAGGAAGACTAATAGAAAAGGTAAAGACTATTAATTCCTTTTAGCATTCAGTTCTTAATTGTTTCTAAGGACTAACATGGATAGATGATAAAATCCAATCACTAAACCCAAAGTTACTAATTTTCATATGAATGACATAATTTTAGACACAACCAAAAATTTATTTTTTATTAGTATTCTAAAATTACCAAACACCACCTGAAAACCTAATGGCATCCACTCTTTTATGTTTATCTAGATTTATTTTCTTGATTATCTTGTTTGATTTTTTCTTATTGACCCTATATTCAAACAAAAATAAACTTTAATTTATAAATAATAATTAGATCATTAGCTAATCTAGAGATGATCTTACCTCTTGTCCCTCTACAATTCCAAAAAAAGTAGTTCATTAGGAAACTAGACATGAGACTTATATAGCAAATGAAAGATACTGGGAATTGAGCCCAAAAGGTTCTATAAGTTGGACATCTATAGAGAAATTAGAAACAACTTTATTTGACTCAACTGTTCTATTAGAAACATCTATATCCATAATGGGACTAATATTAGGAGGTCTATTAGAAGACTCACTTTGGTATCTAAATCTTGTCAATGCTTGACTAGATTCATACCCAGCAAATCTTGAATGGAGTTATCTTTACTAAGTTCCTTTTGCATCTCAGGCATTAACCTAAGTATTTTCTTATTACTGGTTGTCCTTATCTTGAGATTTCTCCTCGTTAATGGTAAATTTTGAAACTTCATCTTAGGGCATATCCTCATTGTCCCCACCCTTCTCTCATCCTCACAATTCCTACTCTAATTAGCTACAGACTTATTAGGAGCATAAGCTAAATCCTTACCCTGCTCATCATTAGGATCACTCAGAACATTCAATCTATAACTTAAAAAAGACCTTTTACTTTTACCACTACTATGATTTGGGGCATTTACTACCCTAAAGCAACTCGGCTTTCTTCCTTACCTTTTGATCAGCATTTAGGAGCCAAACTTGCCTTGATCATTTGCTAACTCACTTTCATGATCACCCTCAGCCTTTTCCATATGATGATTATTGAGAGAACTAAACTCACCTTCTTTTCCTGACACCCGATCACAAGAACTAACTAACTAATTTTTAGATTCAGGACTAAATCTATAGGTTTTTAGACAAGATTCTTGTCTATGGCCATATCTCTCACAACTAAAATAGATAAGGTGAAGATCTTCACATTAAATTCTAAACTCTTTGCTTAAGACCTTAAATGAAGGAATTAGTTTATTCTTAGATCTACTTCAACACAAATCTTAGCAAATCTACCTATAGAGAATAGAGATGTATAAGGATCAGTTTTTAACATTGACTCCAAACAAGCTTCTACTTGTTACAAAAAAATTTCATTGTATAACTCTAAAAGTAAATCAGGAATACAAACCCATGTAACAATGTTCCTAAGGTTGTGGTCTTTATTCCTAAACAGAGGCTTCCATCTTTGGACCAGGAGATAGTGATTAAGAATAAGTTAAGGTCCCTCAAAAGTGCATGCTTATAGTCATCCATATTGTCAGACTTTACTAAAAGGAAGTCATCATTCAAATCCAAGATTTTCGAGGAGGGTGGGGGTGCATTTTTCTCCTATATATTACCTAATTTCTAATTCAGATAGTTAAAACTAATAGATTTACCTAGAAGTTTAATTATTAAGGTAAATTTTCACGGGAAACACCAAATCTCATAATTGTCTAAAACAATTTTTAAATTTGGACAAAGAATTTGATTATTATTATTATTTATTATTTCAAAGTCTTCAATATTGTGAGAAATATTAAACTCTTTCAATATTGATTGAATAATCTCACCATCTCTTAAAATAAGATCTATTAGACTAGTACCTATTTTTGAGTTAAAAATCTTCTTAAACATGCTTGTAAGCCACTATACAAGGAAACTCTAAGAGGGAGGAAAACTTTCGTAAAGATACAAATACATTTTTCTTTCACTTTTGTGAAAGAAATTCAATCTTTAAATTCAAAAGAATAATTGTATTATTCATATTTATTAACTTAAATTTTAAGAGGCCTTTTAAAGAATATATTTATTTTTTTGAAAAACTAAACATATGATAAGTATTATTATAATTATAAGAATAGAAATAAGATATAAATTGAAGAAAATAATAATTAATATTATTGAATTAATCATTGTTAAGATAATGATTTATTGGCTGAGTATTAATAATGTCGATTAAAATATTTTAAATTAACATTGATATTACATGATTTATTATTTAAGAATTTTCATTTTGAATTCATTAAATTGATATGAATAATTATTTAAGATTATTCTTATAAAAGATAGGGGTATAATCACATAAAATACTAAACTTATATAAATTTCCTTATGAATAATTTCTTAATTTAATGATAGCACATGTATTTTCTTAAAATAAAGCTTTCATATATTTTTAATAAAACATACTTTATCTAAAAAATAACGCATTATTATTTGATTTAAGAGATTGATCACAACGCTCTGAACTGGATGAAGAATTGGGCCTAGCACTGAGTGTTTAGTTTAAGTGTTCTTTTGTTGAGCCCAGACATGTTTGTGTGTCTGTGGATATGACTCGTTTCTTCTCTTCGTTTCACCGGTGACTCTCTAAACTATACACATTGGCAAATCGAAAAATGGGTGTGGACTACTATAAAATTCTTCAGGTAGATCGAAATGCCAAAGATGATGATCTCAAGAAAGCTTATCGCAAGCTTGCCATGAAATGGCATCCTGATAAGAACCCTAACAGCAAGAAGGAAGCTGAAGCCAAATTCAAGCAAATCTCAGAAGCCTATGATGTATGTTTTCTCCAACCCAACAATTTTTCTCAATGAAATTCCAATTGGGTTGTGAATAAAATAAAAGAAACAAAGTTGATACTTTGGTCAAAATTTTCATTTTTGTTGTTTCTTACAGTTTGAACTGTTGGGTGTCAAATTTTGCTTTTTCTAATTGTGATTTTGGAGAATTAGAATCGTGGGTTTTGTATTCATCCATGTTTCTGCCCCCCAGTCTCAATGTAATGCCAATTGAGTTGTGAGAAACGGCTGAAACTTCTATCGAGGTTTCCTTTTTTTTTTTTTGTTGGATTTTAGAATTTGAACTGTTGGAGGGGCTTTTTTTTTGGGGGGGGGGGGGGAGGGGAGGCTAACTTTGCATATTATTTTTCCATTTTCTTGTGATTTGGATAATTGGAATCATGGGTTTTCCTAGTGATTTGATTTGTGAATAGGTTTTGAGTGATCCACAAAAGAGAGCAGTGTATGATCAGTATGGTGAGGAGGGATTGAAGGGGCAGGTGCCGCCCCCGGGTGCCAGTGGGTTTGCCAGTGGCAGTGATGGCGGGCCGACAACATTCCGGTTCAACCCGAGAAGTGCAGATGATATTTTCTCGGAGTTCTTTGGGTTTTCTAGCCCCTTTGGTGGAATTGGAGATATGGGTGGCCGTCCTGGTGCATCTGGCTTTCCCAGAGGGATGTTTGGGGATGACATTTTTGCTTCTTTTAGGAGTGGGGCTGCAGAAAACTCTGGCAATGTGCAGAGGAAAAGTGCTCCCATTGAGAGAACATTGCAATGCAGTTTGGAGGATTTCTACAAAGGGACTACCAAAAAAATGAAGATTTCCAGGGATGTGATTGATGCCAGTGGGTGAGCTATCTAGTTTAACTTAGCATCTTTTTGCGCTTCTTTTTTATCAGAAGAATGTGAAGTTCCTTCTGGTAATTTTTATCGGATGAATTTGAATTACCAAATTCCAATTCAGATTTAACGATTTGCATTTTTTTACACATTGTCGTCTTGTTTGATGATCAGTTGCCTTGATCATTTTGGTCGATTTGAAATTGAACTGTATGTTTATACTCTTGTATTCTCTGAGTAATCAACTTTAACTTAATAAAGCAGCAGATTCTGAGATGGGTTGAGACTTGAGTGGCTTAGTCTCTGCTGTTTACATGAAAAATTTTCTTAATTTTAATGTGAATATATGAGCACAGTATTTTGCTAGGATCTGCATCTCATTGTGTTTATAATTTCATCCAATACATTAATAAAGAAAAGGTTTGTATATTCATTCAAACTAATTAGTTGTGATGTGTGATTTTTAGGGTGCTATTAAAATAAGGCAGAATATGTAACTCTTGGCTATATTTTTAATTTTTTATCTAAAGGTTCATTTTCTTTCATTTTTAGTACAAATCTTAGGACTTTTGTGACTTATATAACACAGGTATATTTTCTTTTTTGATGTTTTATCTTTTCTGTTTAATAGGCCAGAATTCTGGATAAATACTCAAATGCCCTGTATTTATATTATTGTTATTGTTCTATAATGTGCATTCTGTAACTTTCTTTCCTTGTTGGTTCATAACTTTTGGTACACTTATCGGCACATAAGTCATGTAATTTGTGTTCCATGCATGTGAAAATTGAGGAGATAAGTTTGCCCTTAGTATAGTTAAAAGACCAATCTTTGTGCTGTTAAATCTATAGAGGGGATTGTTAGCTGTATGGAGCTTATACCATTCTATGTTAGTTTTCAAAATTTTTTAATATACAAAATATTCAGGGGAATGATCCTAGAACTAAAATGAGGATGTTCAATGTAGAGATTAACCAGTCTGTAAAGCTGGGACGGATAAATGATTTGTTTATTGGCTGAAGAATTGAAAGGGGAATTTAGCCATATATGAAATATCCAGTTAAGTCCATTGTTAGTAAAAGAGGTCACTTATGATATTATATCACTGATGCTGGGTACAATGACGCCCATTATGTCATTGTTGATGACACAAAACTTAGATATAGTACTCTAGGTTTGGATGATGCTATTCTTCAATTGAAATTGGCATTTTACCTCTGAAATCGTTGTTGATTAAGTTAACAAGATGAAAGTAGTTGTTACTGAGATAAAATATTGATTTTAAATGGAGAATAGTATTAATGATAGTTATAATACTATTTCTAGATTTGATCCATATTGATAATGACTTGGGGATTTTATATCCATCACCATCAGACTTGTCGGAGGTGTTGAAGTCTTGGTTAAGGCATGATGGAAGAATCTGTAGTTCTGTACATCCAAATCATTTAAAAGTGCATTTTGGATCATGAGCGAATTTGAACTTAGTTGGGTTAAGAAGTTTTCAACTAAGTAGTTGCTCTTACATTGCGACTGCAGTGCAGTGAACAGAAATTGGGTTTTGCACCCAAATATAACTCTGAAATCAAATGCCATTTTTTTGTGCTGCTTTAGCCATCAGGTGAAACTTGGTTGTTACATGTTATTGAAGTGGACAAAGCCCTAATTATTTTGGTTAGGGAATTGTTTTGGATTCAATTGAAAGTTGAGATTAGCCTCTTTGTAGATATGTCTCGGTTTAAGGACTGATGAGTAAGGTTTAGGACAATCTAGTAGGTTCATTATTTTTAGTGAAACATGAAAGGGCATGATGAGAAATGATTATATACATGAGAATGTTGGAATAACACTTATAATAGAAAAGATTATTAAAAACCGTCTAAAGTGATTTGGTCATGTGCAGAGAAGACTTCCAAAGGCACAGGTGAGGAAAGTAGATAACGTGACTTTTAGTGTAGTGAAAAGGGATAGAGAGAGATCTAGAAGAACTGTAAAAAAAGTTATTAAGGAGATATTTTAGTTAATAATATTTCTGAAAACTTGGCTTTTTGACTAAACTCAATGGTGGTGTGTAATCCATGTATCCAACCTCATTTAGTGGGATAAAACTTGGTTGTTGTTGTTTTCGTTGTTGTATATGTGCAATAATTTTGGTCACTCATTGCATCTAGTTGACATCTTTGGGTTATGAATATACATATACATCTATATACATACTGTCTGTTTATGTACATGTAAATCACACACACATATATGTACATACATATATATGTATGTATGTAAGAAACAACAAATTTTCATGTCTATTTGCAATGCATATTTCTTTATTATATGTCTAACATTCCAGATATGAATTCCGAAGTGTTTTAACCAGATTATACATGTCATGTCAGCCAGTGAATGCTCATCATAAATGGTTCCCATTTCATGAAAAATTTCTTCATGTCATTGTCTAGTATGTGCAATAAGGACCCAGTTAAGTTGCAAAACTATTTTGCAAGTGACTAACTTCTTTACATAGACAAGGAACCAAAGTCATTCCCCTTGTTTTTGTTTGTTGATATTAGTTATATTTAAAAGTAACAGTAACTTGGAATAGTAAATTGAGTCAGGTAAATAATCTACTGCATGTTTTGTTGTTGTGTAGGAGGCCCACCACTGTAGAGGAAATTCTAACCATTGAGATCAAGCCAGGTTGGAAGAAAGGAACAAAAATAACATTTCCAGAGAAGGGAAATGAACAAAGAGGAGTTATACCAGCAGACCTTGTTTTTATTATTGATGAGAAACCTCATAGTGTCTTCAAGAGGGATGGCAACGATCTTGTTGTAACTCAGAAGATATCTCTTGTAGAAGCTTTGACAGGTTATATGGCGCAACTGGCAACCCTTGACGGGAGGAATCTTACAGTCCCGATCAACTCCATCATTAGCCCAACATATGAAGAAGTTATTATAGGAGAGGGTATGCCAATTCCCAAGGAACCTTCCAAAAAGGGAAACTTGAGAATCAAGTTCAATATCAAGTTTCCCTCTAGACTTACATCGGAGCAGAAAACTGGCATAAAACGATTATTGACATCATAAACACTGGTACTACCTCTTCCTACCATGTACAAATTGTGTAAGATTGGAATTATTTTTGTTCTTGGTTTTCAATTTTTAAAATGGAAATTCTTTCCTGTGTGAACTAGTTTTCATCTAGAACAGTTTATTAGAAGTATGATTGATATTTGTTTGCTGTTTCGTGTTTTATTTAGTTTTTGGTCAGCTTAATGAAAAAATTCTCTTAACCACTCGTTTCTATGATAAGTTATGGAAGATTTTCACTTTGTGCTCTTGTAGATTAGCATCTTTGTTTTTGTAATCTGTCTTTTTCATTGTATGGCTTTGTTAATCATTTCAGCATTCCATGTGCACTTCGGAGGGGATTGAGCTAGATGTAATTACCTGAAAGTTGAAATTGAACTTCAAAGGTTTTAACTTTTAATGCTTTTGTGATGGCAAGGGGATTGCGCCAAGTGTAATTGAAACTGAACTTCTCATGGATGGTCTTTTCAGGATTTTACTTTTAATGCTTGTGAGAAATTCCTTTTGATTAGTTCAGCATTATGTACGGTCATGTCCTGGTTCCTTGTCAATGGTGGCATTTGTGCAATTATTCAATCTTATTTTTCTATGGTTGCTAATGGATTAAATTCATGCATTACAGACTTCTTATAGATAACCATTATTGATTGCTAAACACTTACAGGTATAAGAAATTTAGGATTAATCAAATTAGCTTGCATGAAGTGTATAAATTTGTACTTATCACATCTTGATGTGCATTTATTGTTCCTGAAAATAAAATGGACGTTGGACAAGTTTGCCATTCAAAACTTCCCTTGTCTGTTTTTGATACTATAGGACTTGGAAGTGTGCTAGCTGACCACAACTAGAGCATATTCTGGACTCTTCAACCTTACACATTACCAATATAAAGTTTCTTGATGTGGGATGACTGGACCTCCACTTTAGTTCCCCAATATTGTAAACACAGTTCATTTTAGTCCTTCACTTTACAAAACTTTTACTTTAGTCTTTAACTTTGTAAAGTCCTTAATATTAGTGAAAAATGTAGTGAAAACGGACTGAAGTGAATGAAATTTGGAACATTTTACAAAGTCAAGAATTAAGGTGAAAATTGTGTAAACTGAAGAACTAAAGGGAATAATGCTTTTACAATTTCAGGAATCGAAGTTAAGATTTACTCGTCGTGGGAACCAAAACTTCAGAACTCTTAGGTAAGGCAAACATCTTAGAACTTTTTGAAGGAGGGTTATTCTTACAAAACCAATTCCATAGCTTAAAGATTTTTATTTCCTTTTATTCAGCAACCTTACTAGTAAACTGTTATCAATAACTAACTTGATGATTTTCAAGAAGGTAACTTATGCATCACATCATTTGCAACTATAAACTTTTTTAGGGGATTGTCTTCATGTCCCCCTTCATGTATTGGATCATGCCACTGGAATATAAATTTTTGGACTTCAATTCACACGTGTAGTACGATACGTGCTATGTCACAGTCTTGTAAAAATTTAGCATATATTGAAATTACATGAATATGTATAGCGTTAAAAAAAATTCACGTTCAATGCATGTGAATAGTAATTAAACATGCAGTTGGAGCTTTTTCTAAGCAGCGTATGATAAAAGCTTTTAAATAAGTACCCTTAAATGCACACAAAGTCTAATAATATTATTTATTACCTTAAAAAAGACCAAAATCTTGCATGTTGCAATTCTTTGTTGCATTTAGATCTCCTAACTGGATGTAGCAGCGAGTAGAATTAGCCATGAGTTAAGTCAACACATGAACCTGTTTGCATCTTGATTCTTTAACAAACAGCTTGATTGGATGCAACGCAACTGAAAATTTCTTTCCTTCAGTGGAACAGAGTCTTGAGTTAAGCATGAAACTCCATTTCAAGATTTACAAGCTGTCAAAGAGTTTCAGTTTTAACACGGTTGACTCATTGCCCCCCATCCCCAGTCAACATTTTTTTTTGTTAATATATATTAACACTAATTTTAAACTTGTCTGACTATATTATTTTTTAAATAAATATATATTTTTATTAATTAGAAATTTGAATGCAATTTCTTGAATTTAAAAAGCTTAATTGGACCTAAAAATAAATATTGTTGAGAGTTTGTATATCCATTGTCTAGGAAAAATATGATATTTTATTTGTAAAAAAATTATAATATTATGAGTTAAATTTTAATAAATTGTCAATATAAAAAGTTTTATATTATCAATCAATTATATATTATCTTAAGGATGACTTTTAATGTAATTATTACAATAGTTAACAATTTTCAATGATGTGACAATTTATAATTGAAAAGTTATGTAATTTTTTAAAAATTGTTATTGTATTTTAATTAAATTTATCTTCTATTATTTTTAATACATTTTATTATTATTTTTTATTGATTCCATTTTTAAGTTATTTTTAGGATTTTGGAATTTTTTTTCAAAAAAAATTTGTTATATGCCTTTGTTACTGATTTTAAACATATAAAATTGATTTGAGAAACAAAATGCATATTACATTAAAATTATAAAAACTATTTTTGTTTCTAATATAAATTTAACACTTATATATACTTGTAATTAACCGTAAATCTTAATGTTAATAATTTTGTTTGAGACGGTAAAAAAATATCATGTTAAAATTAACAGTTACAATATAAACCCTGATAACATGGTTCGCATTCGAAAATGGATCATCTTCTAGTTCCAAAATTTCATATAGGAACAATTAGCCGCGTCATGCATGTAGCCTACAGGAAGACAAGTAGGTTAATAGGTTAAATTATAAAATTACATTTTTTTGTAACTTTCTCCTTACACGTAAAAAAATTATAATTTAATTCTTACATAAGTAAATTTTTTAAATTAGTTATTACTATTTAAAATCATGTTAACGAGACGTTAAATGGAAGAAATCTAAATGTAAAAAAAAAAATTGTTTAAAAACTAAAATATATGTTTTAATTTTTAGCTAAACACATTTAGTTGGTGTAGTTAATACTTATTTATAAATTAATTTTTATATCATTTTATTATATTGACAATTTGAAAAAGACTGTTAATATTATGAACATAGTACAATGACAATTGGATAAACATGCCACCATTATTTAGTGAGTCAAGACATTTCTCTTTCAAGGAGACAATGTGAATTAGACTTCTTACTAAGGTAGTTAATTATGGATTATTAATAAAGATTGAAATGAATTCTTATTTCTGTGTCGATGTCTTAGCAGTTAATGGAGACAAACTATAAATTTGTTGACAATATGTTTATGTTGGTTCAAATCAAGTTCAGCCCAAGAATTTGCTGATCCACCATGAAATCACGTAATACTTAGTTTGTTGTTCTATAAATGACTGATTTATTTTCGTACGGAAGAATCAAAAGATGAAACATTTGAGTGATTTTTTCTTCTTTTTTATGTATGATTTCTTTTATTTTGAAATTATAAAACTATGATTTTTTTTGCTAAAATTAAAGGAATATAGTTTAATTTGAAAATAACTAATAACGTTTTTAATTGTCAAAAAATTAGTTACAACTGAGATTTAAAAAAAATTGTGGTAACTAAAATCACCATTGGTGACTTTTATGTACAAAAATAATTTTGATCTTGAAAAGTCACCAATTATGTCTTTTAAAATTTTAAAGTAATAAAAAAATGTCAATCCACTATAAAATCGTCATTAACATTTTTAAAAATGAAAAATTGTCATTACAAGTAAAGGAAATTGAAAGTTTTTAAAAGCAAGCTTAATTTATTCACTGAAAAAAAAAAAAAAGAGTATGCAAAGGTGTGACATTAATGTGCGAAAAATCAATATTTGTTTACATGATAGATAATGTACCATCTAGAGAATTGAAGTATTGGCTTAGTTAATATATTAAAGTTGAGTTTCCAAAAATATTGGAAAGTACTGTATGTTGTTTTCAAAGAAGTTATAGTTGGTATTTATTAAAATGATGATGAGGAAACATATGTAAGTACTGTGCCAGATAGAGGTAAAATGAGAATAAAACAACATTGAAGGTGATGACAACAACTTTGAAGGAGAATATGAAAGTAGTGAGGATAGTGACAATGAGGATGTGGATGATGATGCTAATAATGACGAGCCTTGTTTGTCAACACAGTGGTTGGACAACATCCGTTTAGAGAGTCATCCTTTATGCGTGCATTAGATCTTGATACTATGCATGCATGAGTTTTGAGAGTATATAAATTTGGGTATATGTTGTTTTTAATCATGTTATTGATGAATTAAATTTAAGTTTTTAAATTATTTTATGTTTGTGTTTGCATTTACATTTAATAGGTCATTGTGATGTATATGAAGAATTGTATATTGGAAAACAATTCAATGATAGAGAAACTATTATATGAATAATTAAGCTTTACAATATATCAAGAGAAGTGAATTACAAATTGTTTAAGTCAAAACCAAATACGTTTTATTATAAATGTGTAAGATCTAGAATAGATTGTAGATGACTTATTCGAGCTACTTTCAGATAAAACAAGTATATTTGAGAGATTAGAAATTGTGCAAGGGGTAGGATTTCTCAGGATTACAAGACGTTGGCTTCAAACAAAATAAATCAAGTCAATGATAAAGTCTGATTCTTCCTTTAAGATGAAACTCATAATTGGTGAAATTCAATTTTGGTATGGATACACAACGTATTGAACAATATGGATGCAAAAGCAAAAGGCAATTGAACAAGTTTTTGGTTAGTAGGAATAGAAAATCTCGTTTGAAGCTTTCTCGCAATGGTGTATAGTAATATGTGATAATGTTTGAGGATCTATTGTTCAATTGGATGTTGCAAAGGCCTACCATAATAATGAACTGATTTCTAATGTTCAAATATTACATTGAGTGTTTTGGAGTTTTTATGCTTATGTTATAGCATTTAAATACTCCAAACTACTTGTGCAAATTGATGAGACACATTTATATGACAAATACAAGAGATGATAATTATATGGTCACCACACAAACTGCAATCTATAACCAAATATTAGTGTTATAAACAAAAATCAAATGATTTGTAGACACAAATATAACATATTTAACAATACATTAATAATATATCTCATGAACACCCATTTGATCCAATATCTAATAGTGCTATGATCCCTAAGAATTGGATATTTTGTTGGATATCGCAATTGTCTCCATTTGAGAGCAAGTGAAAATACTATTAGTTCACCTAGGATTGGAACCAATCATGAGAGTTCATACCACACTCATATTTCAAGAGTATTATAAACCCACAAATTTTTCTAACATCATCTCATGAACCATGATCTAAGAAAGGAAAGGCATGTCAAACTCAACTATAATTCTCAATTCATTAAAATGTGCCAACAACTATAAGAATTTTGGATGTGTCATATGATTGCTTTTATTCGACATTAAAATATGTCCCAACAAAAAAAGTATATATCCCTACGTATATTGTGCTATCGTAATGTCAAAATTTACAAGAAGTCAATTAAAGTGTTGTGTCAACCACTTTAATCTAATTTTTTATCATTCAATATTGTTTGTTGTTTGTCGACCACCTAATAGGGGGATTAGTAGAACTAATCACTGGTAAACCATCGATCTAAAGCTCAAGAAATATATAAACATCTTCTAATATAATTGTGTATTCTCCACAAAGTAGATGAAATATGTGTATTTCAGACTTTCACCATTCCATAAGTGCTTTAACAAGAGGGTCGTTTATTTGCATTTGACAAATTTAAGTAACCTAATTAAGGTTAGCAT